AGCCTGTGTGAGAACACACTGTGGTATTTTTCAGCATCACCTTAGGAGTCGGAACAGAAAAGATGAGGTGAAGCCCTCACTGTCTTTCCTTGTAGAAGACCCAATTTTCTTCCACCTCCTGAAATCCCAATATCGCCACAACTTTGAAGTCCAGCCAGCTTTGAAAAAGCCAGCAGTCTCCCTGTCATGTCCAGGCAAAGGATTAGCCAAGCCCTGCAGGATCGAGTGGAAGGAGGACGAAAGAGGGCTGGAGGAGGAGTGGCGCCATTTTCCATGAGGGCCTTGTATGTGCAAGCAGCTCTACCCGCGGCCTAAGCTGTGGGGGATTAACAAGCTACTAAGAAAGAAGTGAACAGACCCCCAGTCCCACTTTTTTTTTCTCCATGATTTTCACAGAAACCAATTTACAGCAGAGATCTTGGGGGGAGGAAAGCTGCTAATTCTTCCCATAACAGCCTGCTGCTTTTACAGGAAATCTTTGTTGTGTCACTCAGAAAATCCGCTTTTGTGAGACGGCAAACATTTTCACACTCAAGTCAGGGAGGCATTTTTCTACAAAAGGATTCATTTATTGATATTGATACTTCAAAAAGTAACAATCCAATGCTGTCGGAGCAGCTAAGCGCCTAATCTCAGCATCAGGCTCTGTGATCAGTCTTAGGGAAAGGATAGCCTGGGAAGTTCATTTTCTATTGGGAGTCAAAACAAGGCAGAAGAGCAATAATTTTTCTAAACTTTGGATTGTAAATATTTCATAAATGTTCTGCTCTGAATACATTTCAAGTAGGGCATTAACTAGATCACAAAACAAAACTAAATGAGCAGTGTACAAAATGATTCTCATTTTAGTTGCAAATGAAAAGAGCTAATGTAATTCTGACTCATGTCTTGAAATAATACTCAAGTATCATTGGCACATCATTAAATAACTGTTGACTCAAAGCTTAGAATAACAGTTTCATCAATGAGAAACCGAGACATGACTTGAAAGTGATACAAGATGTTAAGTCCTTAAATTAAAAGAATCCAAAGATACATACTCTACATGTTTTTTTTTCAGTAATGAGGTTCTTTGTCTTATCTGTGACTGAAAGGAGCTTCGGGACTTTGACCTTCACCACTTTACTGTTGCAAAGTCTCTTTTGGAAATGGAGGACAGGCGTGGGTGTGTGAGGAAGAGCAAGGCGGCCATGCAAGCACATCAGACTTGAGCGATCTTAATAAAGCTTCCCTCTATCCACCCTAGAGATCCCCTCACCCCAATTATACGGCTGACACCTCTACCCTCCTCCGTCTCCTCTTATTTCTCACAACGACCTCCCCCCTCCGCTCCACTCCACACCCGTTGCCCACCAGCCAGTTCCCAGCTCTGATCGTGGCTGTCCTTTAACTGAGCTCAAAGCCCGAGAGGCCTGCGCAATATCATGCTGCAGGTGGCGTTTATACTTCCCTGTCTGCTGCCTGAGTTGTATCACTTCTTGTATTGACATGAGATCATCCCTGTACTGCCAGGAACTATGTAAACTTCCATTTCTTCCAACAATCCCTCGGAGAGAATCAAGTGAGCAAGTTACTGTCAGAAGATTACATTTTGAAATGCTTCATCAGCATTTCTTGATTTGGAATTTAAATCTTCTTGTGAAACTTGTGACATGCCAACTGAATCTGAAACAAGAAACCCAGAACAAGTATAATGAAAAGTAAAAGCTGTAATTCATTAGAACAAGCTTGGAGGAAGGATACCCACGCTTGTAGGAAACTTTCAGCATTATAAGATGAAGAGCTTCAGTTTCTGACACCTACTGAGTTTACCACAGCGGCTAAAACGTTGCCGTGATCAGAGTTGTGCGCAAACATTAGCTTTTTACAACACCAGCTTGAACTTACTGCAGCTCGCTCTGCAACATTAAACTGCACCCTAACCAGCACTTAACTGCAGATCTAAGCTGAGAATTAAACTTTAGTTGTTTTATGACCCAACAGCTAATCCTTTAAGGTAAGCGCTTGGTGACTGCTGTGCATGTGTGTTTGCATGCAGACAATGCTCAGGCTGTTAAGGACACATCAGTGAATAAGTTGTTAATGATGCATTTCTTTCCTCTCACTTTAAAATAAATATAAATTGGATTCTCATGTCATAACCATCATAAACAACAGGCTATGACATTTTGTTTCTACGTAATGCAGAGCTTTCTGCAGGTACAAAACCAAGATCATTCTGCAGTAATAACTAAAATAACTGCATATTAATTTACTAGAGATGATGCATTTTATTATGCAAACACATACAATGATAATTTTACAAATTACCACAATTTTTAAAATCTTATAAATTCTGGTCATTGTTAAGACCACAATTAATTAATTTTTAAGTCTTAAAAATGACCACAATTAAATACAGTTTTAGTGACACAACTTTTAATCAAAATTTCAAACTTACTTGACTTTCTCAAAACTAAAATTAAGTCTGTCACACAAATACTTGCCTCCATGTCACCTCAACCGACATCCTCAAAATTACCTCAATTTGATTGATCCTTCTGTAAAGTTTGCAGAAGGATTTTGAAGCAGCCAGTGCCAAATTAATAAATGTAATGGATGATTGTGAAATTAGCAACTAAAGGTTTTGATGATTCGCTTTCTGAGGAAAGTAAATGTTCTTCCCAAAAATGTTTTTAAATTATATCAGGTTACAAAGAGTCGCTGATCAAGAAAAAGAGCTTTGAATTTAGTTTCTATAATGAGATGTTTTGGTTTGCATAAGACAAGAAATAATGATTACAGGAACACATCTCTACATCAATTATAATTTACACACACAACCTGATATCATGATGTATGTAACATTTTATGGCAGTCTGATCTCTCTGTGTCAACAAACTTATACTTTTTCCAAAGAAAATTATAGGAAATATATTTAAGTGTCTGTACAAATGCAAGGAAAGTTATAGAAAAGCATAACATTTGTCAAACCAAATAAATAAAAAATATTCTTGCACATTCACTTCACCAGTCTTGGGTAAATGTGCTGAAAAATACACAGTTTGAGCAACACAATAATCAACAGCATGCGAGTTTGTGGAGCTTTTATTCTCCACAAACTCGCATGTAAACAGATTAGATTACAATGCAGGTCTGTTCTGAATAAAATTAGCTGTTCTCATGATGACCCAACGATACGAGACTATGAACATGTCAATGTGTCCAATAGAAAACAACTCAAGAGAAGCACACAGAATGAGTGCTGATGCTGTATTGTTTCAAAGATATTTCACTGCTAGTGTTAAATTCTATCAAGGTCACAGCAGGTCTGTGTCTGGCTAACCATCTGCCTTGAGCCTTCCCATGAGAGGTTCTGTCATCTCCTTGGCCCTGTCCTCTGCTGTCCACTCTAAAGTTCAGAAGTTAAATTACAAACCAAACAAAGTGACTTTTCTGTGATTGCTCAAGTTACCGACACATTTCTGCAGCTTTCTGTATTGAGACAGCAAAGTTCATATTACTGTCAGTCTTCCATTAGAGCACATAAATCCTTAGAGAAGACCAAAGCAGTTTTTAACAAGAACTGAATTGTCAAATATGAAGTACAATAGTGGAAAGATTGGATTTTGAAAACACTGACATACCAAACTATCCGTTACATTCTTAACATTTAAAGCCATTTCAATGTGATGCTAAAGAAAGTGCCAGAGTCATTTCTTCAGCATAGAGTAGCACAGAACTTCCCTTTTTCCATCTGCTGCACACAACAGAGCAGAGGGAGTTAAGTGCTTTGGTCCAACAATACACACTTCATGGACTTTGACAATTGCTCTTCAAAACTATTCACCCTGCTCTCTGGCTAAAAAATCAGCTTCTGGAAGTTCAGTAGTTGGGGCCATTTTCCACATAAACAATACACCCACAAAAATCTGACAAATCATGCAAAACGGGGTGAAGAGTTCATCAGGGTGTTGTGGCAAGAAGGGTTGGATGACATGAGGTTGAGAACAAAATAGCGTGATTTTTATAATGCAACTGCAAAACTGAGAGCTGGCTCAACATTTTTCCAAATCTCAGCTCAAGCAAGACTGAGTCAGAGCCAGAGTCAGAGTTTTCTCCAGCAGTAGGGAGCAGAGTAGCACAGAACTCTCCCTGTTCCAACTTATTATATCAAATAAGTATAATAATCAAAAGTTAAACATTGAAAGAAGTCTTATGATACAGCAGGGAGAATAATTGTTGCTTTTCACTTTTGAATAAAATCAATTAGATCATGTTCCTTTTTTAATTTTTGTGTAAGCTCTTCATTAATGTGAGGCCTCAGTATTTTTACTCGAGGTTATGTTGTGTGAAACTACGAGGCCAGGTTGGAATGTAGTAAAGAAATTCTCATTTGTCATCTAGACATATACATATTAATACTATTCAACCACAGAAGTAGTGGTTGAGCTGGAATAGCTACACAATTCTAAAGAAAATCTGTTTCTGTTTTAAGTTGCAGTTGATTTGTCATGCACTTACTCTGACACTGCTCACTCTGTGCAATGAGCAAACCTTCCACGATTCATTCTCTAACATACCAAGAAAAGGCAAATCAATTAATCCAACACATCAAGAAAACACAAATACGGGAAACTCCACATTAAATCAAACTCTGCTCACATACACGGTTTATATGCACTAGAACTCATGTTGGACACCATGACTACACAGTATTAGAATTAAATTAAGCTTTTTATGAAGGTAATGCATATCATAAAACTCTTTGCTGAGCAAGAAGTAAAATACTTTCCTACTTATGTACATTTTTAAAAGTATTTTACGTCATTGAATTTCAAGTTTTGAATACTATTCTTGGTGTATAGTTTCTAATTAATTTTTTAGTTTTTCTATATTCACCTTTGTGTGAATCTGCTGCTATGCCTGAATTTCCCCACTGAATTTATCTCCCTCTCTCTTTTAATCTAATCTCCAGCTTTTAATTATACAACATTTTACAGAGTAGCAGAAGTCCTTACCTTACAGCTTCAAAACAGGTAAGCATTCAGGGTTGGAACAGGCTTCAGCTGCAGCCGTGTCTGAATCTGGATGAAACAAAGAAAAAAAAATGATGAGCATTACATTTGAGTATCACAGACATAATACTGAGCAGCTTGCAACTGATGCCACCTAATACTCTGAATACAGTCATATTTTATTTTTCATCAAAGGATGCCAAGCCCAGCAATGAATAACAATGAAAACCTATGAAGACCTATCAGAACATGTGATGAGTAAAATGCCTTGAAGAGCCATGTTAACGTGAAGCAACCAGCCTAAAATCCAGTGGAAAACGCATGTTTTGAGATGCAGAATGCATTTGCAATAAGTGAACAAAATCTTTTGACAAATCCCACAGCTCAAACTAGCCAATTGTGATGATAGCATCTCAGCTCACAATCTGCTCTGGCAATCTGCTCCAAGAAAAATGTCTTCACCTTGCCAAAACACAAACCTAAGGGAAAAAAAAACAAAGACTCCTACAGTAAGATGTAACCAATAACATGTCAACTCCTAAACAGCCAGCATCTACTCCTCAAAAGTTTTCAGCTGAATTTCTGGCATCTTCATGAGAAAGATTTGTACCCATGTGGGCAGTTTGCTGTAAGGATGACCGCTGCTCCAGACAGAAAAAGGATGTTTACATTTACTGTCCAATATTCCTCAGATTCTTTGGCACAAAATCTACAAACATGATTGCACACATAGTAGATAAAAAATAAGCATCAACAACAATGTTTGTGTTTACCCTGAATAAGCATAAATGCAGAAAAGGTGAAAGAGAGTTAAGTTATTGCAATAAGAGAAATACAAACATGCAATTTGGATCTAAATTAATGCTCTAAATCCTTTTTCAAAGGCCAAAAAGCCTATTTATAATGCAAAAGCAATCTCAACTAAATGTCTATAAACCTAAGCATCTATACCATACATTCTTAAAGAGAAAAACTGTTGGCCATGTTTACGTAGTTTTCTGCAGATGTTGTAATAAGTAATAGCATTCTCAAAGCCAAACTTTGATCCATTATTTTCAAAAAGGACATTTTAAGTACCTTTGAGGCCTGAAACCTTCAGAGAGGCAGCAACTTCACAAGTACTAAACTGTCCAGCTGGCTGTCACTTACTGGTGATGGTTCAGTTGAGGTTACAGCAAAGTCGGTTCAAAGGCTTGTTTTTCCTTCTTCACTTTCTCTTCAACTTTTTTTTCTTGTCTTTTTTTCTTGTCTTTTTTACAAGAGGCCCAGATAGAAAGCACAATCGTGTTTTGTTTATCAGTAATAGTTTATCCTGGGTAATTTGATACTATTAGGCATGCGGACATTATTTTCTTGTGTCAACAGTTCAGGGAGTCTGTTCACCATCTATGGCAACAAGTGGCACAAGCTGGAAAAAGCAATACAAAAAAAACATCAAAAAGGCAGATAAGGCCTTGTGCAAACGCTCCACTCTCCACTATCTCTGAAACATTTTCAGTCTCCAGACTGAAAATTGCCCTTAAATACAACTAGATGGATTTAATACGAGTGCTTTGTAGCGCACCTTAGTAGGTCTGTTGACGTAGATCAGGCCATATGCTAGATTCACACAAGTACTCATCCAAAAGATAAGGAGAAGGTACATTTTTGGAAATATTGGACATCACAAACCGCTCACATTTCCAAAGCACTGTAAGACGACAGTGGGGAGACGCAAAGTGTGTCATTAAAAGCCCAGTAAAGACAAACTATGTTAAACAACTGGAAAAAAAAAAAAAATGATCCAGTACATCACCTCAACTGCAGAGATAAAATCAGAACTTGGTCCCAGTACAGTTGAATCGAAAGCTTTGCTTGTATAAATATTTTAACTCTTTAAAGCTTACACAAAAAAAGAAGTGGCTCTTCTTTTTATTGCCAATGGTTTTCATTGTTTCCAGTCAACAAGCATAAGAAAACAACGTGTAATTGCTATTTCACCCAAATGGAGGGAAGAAATAATTACTTTGATAACCTTTGAAGACCTTTTGAATATACGGAAAGAGCCTGGATGGAGGGCCTGGTTAGCGTCAAGATACTCTCTCCTTCCACACCCTCCCTCCCATACCGTTTAGCCTGGCAACATACACTTATCCTACTGAAGTAGACTAAACACCAGTAATCTACAGACAGACCTGAAGGTGTATGATCACAGATAAGAGTTAGTGGAATAAATGTGTAAAACAGTTTTTAAAAAGGTTATAAAACAGTTGGTAAGCTACAAGTGGCATTTCTCTTAAGCACTCGACTACAGTCTGGCTCCTGCCAATGTATCGGCCAATACAGATAAAGTGACATTGGTATTGCCCGATTTTATTAATACCAGCCTAGCTTCACTTATTGGTTCAATACCAATATGTTAAAAAGGTGAATAATCAATGCTTATTTCCATCTTGTTGTCATTTATGTTTCAGGAGAGGGAAAGGAAGGAGTTGGTTATTTGGTATTTGTTTAGTCATGTGACAGTGATTGTGATGTGGTGCAGGATGTGGGGGTGTTTAAAAGAAAACAAAGCAAAGTAGGTGATGATATTCAGTAAATATCAGTTACTTATTGCCCCTAAGAGTAGCATTAAAATCGGAAATGAAATCCACCCAAATTTTCATATTGGTCCATCTGTTTTGGCTACCTTAGCAGAAAGCTAAACTAATTAAACAACTGATCTCAGTTTGTCAAGAGTTGTCTTTGTGTGGGTCACTTCAAAAACAGCCTTGTAACAAGTTTAACCAAAGCTCACTTATCCATGCCAGAGACATTGATGGGTCTCTGGCCAGGATTTCAAAATAAGAAAGATTGTTGATGAACAAGTCTTACAAAATACAGCTTAAATATAACTTAGCAAAAGGTTTCATTTGGTGAAATCTTAGCTTGGCTAATTTTGCAATCCAGAAAGCTTTGAAATAATCATTAAATAACTTGTAATGTTGATTACTGATTGTGTTCAAACTTAAAATGTGATTTATGTGTCTCATTCAGGGAAGTAATAAAATGCTTGAGGTGAGAGGATAAGAAAGGAACGTGGAAGCCTCTGTTAACAGATTGTTAGTGTATCTATGGAGCTTAGTAGAGTCTCTGATGCCCAAAGATAAATGTTGTTTACAGATAGAGTGTGGAAGCTATGGTCTTCTTCTGCTGCACATGGAAATTCCCCGAGATAATTACCGGGTTCACCCAAATTAAATAGTCATAACAAAATGGAGCCAAATGATTCCACAATTCTTTTAAAACATTTTTCCTGAGTTTTCTGTTTCAATATTTCATGATTTTGAGGCCAAAATATTACACTGACTTTCTCCATTAACTTTGTCAGTTTGCCATTCTTGTATGCTTTAAATTCAGCCTGTCAGGAAAACAAGTTTTGAATTGAATGAAAAAACACACACACACACACATATATATATATATATATACATATACATATATATATTGCAGATCATAAAGAAGTTGTAATTTGATGCATTCGAACTCAAATGAGCTTAAACTTAATGTATCCATAGTGAAAAATTAAAATTTTAGAAAAATAAACATCTAAAGAAGATACCAAGTTGCGGGGAAAACCCAATAAATGGATATTACATATTTATCTGAGGATTCTGTGTAAAGTATAGATAACTGCTGCTCCAAAGGATCATGTGAAACCTGCTCACATTCACTCAGCTGATATTGAAAAGATCTATTCTTCTCCTTTCAGTTCTCTAAACCATGTTTCTAGACGAAAACCCCAACTTCCTTCTTCTCTGATACTTTATCCAATATATACAGAGGGATAACCAACAAAAAATGTTCATTGAATATTTGTGATTTTTAATTATGACTGCTGTATGGTTACCTCATGAGTCCCATTTCGATTCCTTTGAACTGTGCTAATGGAATGATTGATATAATAGTCATTGGCCAGCCTGGCCTTGTATTTAAACAAGTAATAAATCCTCTAGAGGAACTTTGTAGTGTAGCCTCTTCTGTCTCCCACCAAATGACAAACAGACCCAACTCATGCCCTCTCTCCGCTCAGCTGTCTGTTAAGCGAAAACATGTGGTCTGGTATCTTGTTTCAGGCAAAGTGAAAACACACACCCGCTGAGGTATACAGTGGAGCAGAAAAGTCAAACAAGTTGTGACCAGGAGCGTTTCCTCTGTCCTTGTGCAGAACTCCCTTATTCCACATCTCCACAGGGGGCGAGCATAAGAGGTTTGACTCCACCCCCCCACCGTCCCACCCTGGTGCAGACTACAGAAAAATCAATCAGTATTCAGGTCATGCCACCACCCTTAACACAAGACCTCTGAACCCAGCGGGGATCTCCTTGGAGGGAGGGATAGGGATTTGTCTGTTGTGCCAGTGTCTGCTCCGTGTCCGACACCAACAAAGTTCTCGTGTTGAGGGGAGGAGCGCAGCCTAACCCTGTCCACCTACGACACAATAAATCCAGCTGAGGAGTTCAAGGTGGGCTGACCTGTAGCCGACCCCGTCTCTGGAAAAATGGCTACAAGCTACAAGCGGAGATTTTCCCTGCTGTCGTTTTTTTTTTTTTTTTTTTTGGCTCAAGGGAAAAAAGGCAGGATGTGCTCAGGTTTTGTGGGCATCGCCAATGTGCAAATTAATACATTTACTCATTCAAGTTTCAATTCCCATCCAAACTGTTGGGAAGCTTTCTTTCCATCATGGAAACTGGATGGGGGGCAGAATTAGCATAGCATAATTACACTGGGGAAAGATCCAGGCTCCAAGGAGCAAGACATAACCTGTAATTTGCCATTGTGCTCCCTATGCAATTGACACTCATTCTATGACACCGGAGATAAATGTCAGAATTCAGGCTGTTAGTTTAACCGATGGCGCATTCGGAATGATAATAACCAGGGTCTTCAACATGTTCAATCTGATGAGCAGTCCAGCAACAGCTCTCCACCACTTTTTCAACCCTCTTTGGGGTATTATCATGCTAATCTAAAGAAGAACCCAGAAAAAAAGTAAGTTTCTGTGAAAGAGGATATTTAATGAGAAGCAAGGCCCCCTGAAACTCTGAAGA